GTTTTTAACAGTTTATATTTTTGAAAATACATCTTTCTGCACTCCTTCTTTGCAAACCCAATAAACACATCGAGCAAAAAAATCTACATCTCACCAGAATTTCTATTAAAGCGATACTCCAGGGGGGTCGAATAATTCCTATCGAGAGATTATTCGTAACGAAAGGGTTCGAGCAGGTGGTCCACTGGTAATCAATCAAAATAAAGATGTAGGAATGATGGATGGAGAGTGTGCGAATGATGGATAGCGAAATGATAACAAAGGGGGTTGCTTTCAAGTGGAACACAGCGTGCGAATATTAAAATTCAGGAATATTCCTAAAATCCTTCTATCAGTCGCAGGAACAACAAAAAGTCTCTATAATTTTGCACGTGAAACATCGATCCAAAGAATTCCTCGAACACGAAAAAAATGACTCGTCAAGCGGGGATGATTCATCGTCGTCTAATTGCGTAATTATCTTTCAGAAGCAATCTCATCGATGTAGCTTCCTGTTTCGCCTGGCTGTATACCTGCGCTGCTTCCTGAGAATTCTAAGCGCCATTGTGTCACCGCATGGTCGTCCGCATCAGCCTTTAATTGAAACCGTGATTCATAATTTTGCAAGTTTTAATAACGCCACGCGATCGTGGGAAGTTACAGCGGGGATGAAATTGCACGTTTACGAGCCACGTTTAATACTCATTGTTCGACAGACGGGAGTCGAGAGAGACTCCCGATTAATCGCGAGCTTCCGTTTTCTTTCTGTCTTTCTCTATTCAAACGCGGTGATTCAGATTTTTGTAAAGGTCCTCCTCGCCGGTAACCGTGATTTACGAGTGAATTAACGCTATGTTTGTCTTCAGATTCCTAGCGGAGATTTGGAATTGTGAAAGGATTGACCAAGGACTGTTGAGTTTCATACACTCGAAGCGAGGAATTTTTCAGTGAATAATTATTCCAGGCGAATTTGAACTGGAGAAATGCTGAAAGAATTGTGGTCTACTTGGTTAGAAGTTTCACGCTGAGAATGAATGGATCATTGAGAAAATTTGAACTGAAGAAACGCTAAAAAATAATACTGGCTTTTATAATTATTTTCATTAATTTATTTACAAGTTTTATACTGAGAATGAATAACTTTTTGAGAAAATTTGAACCGAAGAAACACTAAAAAAATGATGGTCTATTCATTTAGAAGTTTTATGCTAAGAATGAATGAATCTTGAAGAGAATTTAAACAGAAGAAGCACTAAAAGAATTGTGGTCTATTATAGTGATTTTCGTCGATTTACTTAGTCTTTAACAAAGACACTCAATTTTCCTCCAATTCACCATATCTCAGTTCCAGCCATAATTCGCGATCTATCGCTATCAGAGTGACATGACAAGCCGTGGGAAAGAACACCGAGAAAATGACCAATAAATATTCACCACGAGCGCTCGTTTCAAGGAACACGTGCGTGACGCACCGACAGCTAAACCTAAACTCCATTGATCGAGAAGAAAATCTGTAAACAACCGCGCCCTGCAATTCATCGCGAGGATAGTCTCACGATGATCTGGAATGTATAGAAGTACGTAACCGAGTCTATTCTCTGGTTCACCAGGCCTTGAGTCACTATGTCGAACATCTAACGTTCGTGCATACAATTTATTCTGTACAACGAGCTACCTGTTTGCATAACTCGCCAATGCTGACGAATCGTTGGAATACAAAAACATATTTTTTGAAAAATATTGTTAATGAAGTTTCAACTGAATGGATGAAAAGAAGGAGAAGATTCCACTGGACCTTATTTTCAGAAAAATTAAAAAACTTTGTAATAGAAAAACCTATTTTCTGAAAATATGATTAATAAAGTAATTGAATGGATGAAAAGAAGAAGAAGAGGATTTGGAAAAATTAAGAATCTGATTTGTGGCTACAATAATGATTAAAAGCGAACAGCTTTAAAATCATAGTAACGATTCTCAAGTGACAGTCTTCGAATAATTTTAGTAAATAAGCAGCAAAATCATATTTTTCAATTTCGAAAAAATGAGGTCCACTGAAATCTTTTCCCTTCTTCTCGCCTATTCGATTAAACATTTATTAAGAGCATTATTAAACCTTATCTCTTTAAAAGAACTCTAAGACTCCAAAAAAATCGCAGCAATAAATCCCCAAATTTCCCAAAATAGGGTCCACTGTCATCTTCCTTCTTCGATTAAAAACACCATTAAGTCCTATCTCGATCCAAAAAAAAAAAAGAAGAAGAAATGACCTTTACCCTCCCAAAAATGTTCGATCGAACGATTCGCGATGCTCTAAACATAGCCTCGGATTATATTTCACGAGCTCCCGGCTAATTAGCCGAGTCTTCGCCGGCGAAATTGAATTAAGGCGGAGAAGGACGTGGAGAATTTAGGTTTCAATGGCGCGTGCACGTGCGAGGCGCAAGCGGTAACGCAATCGCGAAGAAGAAGGCAGGTGGTTTTTACTTTAAAAGCGCGCCTCGTGTTCTGGCAACTTCGACAATGCTAATCCCATCGGGAGATAATAGGCGCACCAGGTCCCACGTACCGGCCGCAATTCTCTGGGTTCAAGTACGCGACCGTTTACAACACGCAGCCGTGCGTTTCCGCGGCCTTTTTGCCTAACAGCGGTAGCTGATAGATCTTCGCGCTCGTTGTCTTTCACAAGCTCGAAGATGCTGGGGTCTTCTGCCAATTTCTTCCCTTAGAGTTTCCTTTTATAGCCAATTCCTCTAGAGAAAAGAATTGTTCTATTTCCTGCAGAAATGTCGTTAACTTTCATATCGCACTGTTTCTTCCTTGATTTATTTATTTCCAAT